TTGTCGACAGACCTAATAATAGATAATTGACTTATATATGTATTTTATTTTTTGTTGTTTTTCTTGTTATTTTTTTTATGCAATAATTTTAATGTGTCAATCTCAGGACAATTCACACAGCACCATCTAAACCCAAGTTAAGCTAGATAAACCTGTGTTTTTGGGTACTATATAAGTGATACAAATACATAGATATTTTTTTTTATTCGTAAATACATAGAAAACACCTAGACCGATACATACAATCATACTTATGAATACAAATGTTTGTGCCGTGCGAGGAATCGAACCCGCGACCATCGGAGGTAAAGCGGTGTGCTAGACCGCTGGACCACCGAGGTTGGCATATAATAATTTATATGCTGAACATCATCATTGTTGTGTTGTGATGTGTGATTTAATAAATATTATTCTATTCTATTCTGTTTTTATTCTTAATAAAAAAAATACAAAGAAAGTTCTCGAGTATATATATAGTTTACACATAGAGTAGTTTTTTATGATGTAACTAAATATAAGGAGATCAATTGACCCGGCCGAATGTGTCGAGGTTCGAACTCCTAGCAGTGCCCTCAGACTAAAGTCATATCAGTCAGGAGTTGGCCTTTTGCAGCTCTATAAGGTCTTCCGCTAGTTTGGAGTGACATCTGCACTCACCCTTAGTGAGCCCAATAACCTGGCCAAATGTTTCGAGGTTCGAACCCCTAGCAGTACCGTTACTATAGTTATATCTGTCAGGAGCTGGCCTTTAGCGACTCCAAGTTTTTCCACGGATTTGGAGAGCTACGCACTTGCCCCTATCGTTCGGTGAAGCTGTAAAGTCCAGCTGCAGCCAACAGCATTAGAAAAAACTTAAAAACGTAACAAGTTATAAAATTAAACGAGAATAGGGCATGATTGACCGTATTTTAGAAAGACCAATACTCCGGCCTAATATGTCGAGCCTCGAACCCCTAGCGGTGCCCTCAGACCAAAGTTATATCCATCAGGAACTGGCCTTCAGCGGCTCCATATATTCTTCCCCGGGTTTGAAGTGCCATCTGCACTCGCCCTTAGGGAGCCTGTCAAATGTGTTGAGGTTCCAACCCCTAGCAGTGCCATCAGCCGCTTTTATTTATTTATTTAACTTCAATGCACACAATATACAAAATATAGTAAAGTACATTTGGCGGACTTAACACCATGCTGCAGCCGACCATTGGTGGTGCAGAGAAAAATGTTGAAATATAAAAATGTAAATACAATATATATATAATTAAACGATAAATATATACAAATATTATATTATACATATATACAAATAAATATATACACACATATATATATAAAATAAATATATACTAGATACTCAATAGTCTGACAGTCACAGAACCATAGAGAGTAGAATGGAAAAATAATGAAAGAAAGAGAAATAGAAGAGAATAGTAAAATTTACAACTTAGCTTTTAGCTTCATTTGGACTGGTATCTGCGCTCGCTATCGTTCGATGAAGCTGTAAAGGCCAGCTGCAGCCAACAGCATTAGAAAAGAACTTAAAAATGTAACAAGTTATATAATTAAACGATAATATGGCTTGATACGTATCGGTGCTTCGGCCGTCGAAAGAGCCGCCGGACTCACAATTATCCAAATTACACCAATGTAAATATTTGAGTGTCTGCCATATGAACGGGCCCAGTTATATCGTAAAACCTTTTGGGAACAACTGACATGCAGGTCGTGTGTTTAGCGAACACGTAAATTTATAAAGGACTTATGGGGTGGACAGAGGTTATTGTCAATTGTCAACAGAGTTATGAGTCTAACAATTAACATATACATATATATATATATATATACATATATCTTATATATAAAATTCTCGTGTCACAATGTTAGCTACCATACTCCTCCCAAAAGGCTTGATTGATTTTTATGAAATTTTATATGCATATTTAGTAAGTCTGAGAATCGGTTACTATCATATTTCATACCCCTAAGTGGTAAGGTATATCCACCCCTAAATATTTTTTTTATTATTTCGACATAATATTTTATTTTAATTTTATAATTATTTAGGATTGAAAAATACTGTATGTATTTTTCAATCCTAAATACTTATAAATTTTCACCCTTCTAGTAACATCCCCTATGTTAATTAATAGCGATTTTAATTTATATGGCAAAACAACGTTTGCCTGGTCAGATAGTATTATATATATGTATGATAATTGTTAAGTTTTATATTTATTTATAAAAAAAAGTATTTTTAACTATTTCTATCAGTTGTCTAGTACCGATTATACGGATATCAAACGGATGGATTGACAATAATTCCTGATTTGCCTTCGAATTGTAACTTTAGTTTATTACCCAAGAGGTCTTAAGTTCAAATCCGGCAGATACCAAAAAATGGATCACATTATATTTCTGACTGATTCTCAGGTGGACAGGAAACATTGATAAAACAAACTAAAAAAATATAACGGAAAAATGACGAAATGTGAAAAAAATTGATCTAATTATATTTTTGACTGACTCTCCGGAGCAGCAAGTACTGGTAAAACAAACTAAAAAAATATATCAGAGAAATGTCAGTATACTCGTCCCTTGCTGTGTAGGAAATATAACGAAATGTGAGCATGTTACAACAGATTCAAAATTCAAAATTCAAAAATCACTTATTCATGTAGGACATTTTGGCGCTTATGAATGTCAAGTTTTTACATTATATTTTTTTCCCCTACCATCCAGTTCGATACATATATCCAACTAGCTTTTGCCCGCGGCTTTGCTCGCGTTAATTTATCCCCTTAGGGGTGGAATTTATCTAAATCTTTTCTTAGGGGATGCCTACGTCATAGTAGCTTTATGCATGCAAAGGTCTCAGCCCGATCGGGTTAATATTAACAAAGTTTCGTACATTCTTTTATCCCCTATTTAATCCCCTTGGGGGTAGAATTAATCAAAATCCTTTCTTAGCGGATGCCTACGTCATAACATCTACCTGCATGCCAAATTTCAGCCCGATCCGTCCAGTGGTTTGGGCTGTGTGTTGATAGATCACTATGTCAGTCACCTTTGAGTTATATATATTTAGATAGATAGATATCAATAATAATTAAAGACAATAAACACAGCGCCATCTAGAATACGCACTTTTTGGGTACTAAATAAACAAACAAACAAATGATAGATATATTTATTTAATATATATATATACACTTTGTCAGTCACCTTTGAGTTATATCTATTTAGATTGAGAAGAACTGGCAAGAAACTCAATTGAATAACTTTTTTTTAAAAGCCAGTTTATGTACAATGTCCTATACATTGTAAATAAACTGTATTTATATAGGTGTCTATGTTTAACATTAAATGAAAATCCCGTACATGAACAACTATTGCCATGCACGCTACCTCCATCTGAAATGTTAGTCGTGACAATATATTTTATTGTTTCCACTAATAGTAGTATTTCCGTGTATTTCAGTTGGCGACTTTGAAGTGGCATGTATCACGAACAGCCTTTTAAGATATTAAAGCGGATAATTTAACAAGAAATATTTTTATTAATTCGCTGTGTCGTATTTGTTCAACTTGTTTGCCAGTTACACAAAACTCCAGCCAGCTGTTGAATTTCGAGAAACGCTTATTATAGCATTAACAAAGAAAAAGTACTTTATTAAAATAAATATTTTCTCGATATTAGATTAGCTGGCGCTTTGTGAACTGGGAATGGTTTTCTCAGGTTACAAAGCAAATAGTTACATGGTTCCCATTTAGAAATTAATAATTGAATCAAAGATTAGAAACGCCTCAAAAATGCGCAGATTTCAGCTTTTTTTATAGACTACGGCCTTAGGCAGTGATGAGAAATGAAGGTGAATTTGGAGTGATACTTCATGGCAATTAGGAGATTTTTTAAAGTCTGAATTTTAGAAGTATTTTCATAAAATTTATCTGCGCATATTACTAGATTGTTCTCAGAAGTGTGAGAGTAAAATTTAGCAGAATCTGGATATTAATCCAAGAAAGAATCACCAATCAGGCGTCACTTCTAAAATTACAAACAATTAAAATTAAAAACATGCAAGTTTCGTTCTCAGTCTTTTATAATAACTACATTCCGAATGAGTGCTAGAACTAAAAAAACATGGCTATTCAAAAGTATTTTAATTAATAAATTAATTTTTTTATTTATAATATTGAAGACCTCGGTGGTCTGTCGGTCTAGCACACCGCTTTACGAACGATGGTTGCGGGTTCGATTCCTCGCACGGTACAAACAATTGTATTCATGAGTATGATTGTTTGTATCGGTCTGGGTGTTTTCTATGTACAATATGTATGTATTTACAAAAAAAATATCTATGTATATGTATCAGTTATACAGTACCCATAACACAAGCTTAGCTAGCCTAACTTGACTCTAGATGGCGCTGTGTGAATTGTCCGGAGATTATTATTATAATATATTTACATTAAATGTATTTGAATAAAATTTAGAAATAACATTTAATGAGAAATTCCTTTAAATAAATTTCAAAGTGGTAAGCGTACTGGCTCAAAATTTACTTAAGATCAAAATAAAGAAAATCCAATGTCCCTTCATAACAGCTATGCAATACACGAATTAAAATTTCTTTGAACCGTAGACTTTCCTATTATTAGTTTGAGGAAAGATTTGTTTGTTTTTTTCTTTTGACTCCGAAACTACTGGATTGATTTGAAAAAATCTTTTAATGTTAGATTCCTACATCATATCCCTGATGAACATAGGAGACCGAATATTTTGGTGTTTTTTGTATTTTTATTACCAAATTTTTTGTTTTTTTCATAAATTTTTTCTTATGTTTAATACAGCATATATTTTTTTACTCTTGAATCGAATACAAACTAGGCTATACCACAGATAACATAACATTACACAGCTATACTATTCGTAACTTTAAAATATTTTTAATTGTTTTAATAAATTTAGTACATACGTGAAATAATACATAAACAATTTTTCTGCTTTATAAACAACCCATGTAAGATTTCTTGCAACACTTCCTGCAACAGGGGTAATTTCTGCTTTTTGATGTACCCCTTTTTAAAGTGTTCTTTCCATTAGACAATCCAAACCTCGGACACTTCTCAAATTTATACAGCTTCCTTTTCTTTTCTCTGTGCTCTCGAATACGTTCCTTTTCTCTTTTTCTTTCTAAAATCCACTGGTCCAGTTTTGATTGAATTTTTAATATATTTTCTGTGCGATTATTCTTAGCATTACCTTTCTTCGGAAATAGGTTCGTCATATCGAGTAAATCGAAGGGAAGTTCTTTTTTATTTTTCTTGGTTTTATGAAGTGATTTTCTTCCGTCTGTTGAACTATTATTCATATTTCTTTGATTGTAGAATTCTGAATACGAATCTTCACGTGTCAGTTCTGTGGTTAGCACATCTTCTGTTTCGTTCAGTATTTTTATCAGAGTTTTGAGTTCTTTCAAATGATTTGCACCCAGTTGTAATTCATTATCGTTATTCGTTTCTAGTATTTTTACACTATCATCTATAGCCCTGTTTATTTTCTGTAACAGATCACTTTTCTCTTTTTCTAAAGCTTCTATCTCTTTTGACTTTGTGATATTAGAATTGGCCGCGCAAATAATTATGAAATTTATTGATACAAGAATGATATTTCTTCGCATCTGAAATATTTTTTTGTATTTATTTGTAAATGCATGAATAACATTTATAGAAAACATCCAGACAAACGTATAATTGTTTCATTAATACAAATGTGCAAGCAAGGTGTCGAACCAGCTATCATCGAAAGTAAAGCGGTGTGCTAAATCGCTAGACCACCGAGACCGTCAAATATCAAACAAAATCTGATTTAAGGAATGCTTATTCTATATCTATATATAATAAGTAGGATTAAAAAGCTTAAAAAATATAATACAATAACTAAAATATATTATTAAAAGGGGTCCCTTTAGGCAGAGTTCCGAAGATACTGGCAGCGTTCCCTCTTTGAATAGCTAGACTAATTCTTTGTCCAAGGTTGCTGCCAGCTCTTCGGTCTTCTGTGATGTCGACTAACCTTTTCGTTATTTCTTTGAAAAGTCTTATAGCACTAGGACCCCACGGACCAAGGGTCTCGACACCGAATGGGACAAAATCATATTCGGAGCCTAGACCCCTGTATTTGATTTAGTTGCCAACTTCAATCAAAGGTTTAGAACAATCTCATCTTTAGTTCCTACATATTGCAAATTTTAAATTAATATATCTCAGAAGTAAGGAACAGCAGCGCTTGAGTGATATCACAGGCATTACGTGATAACGTGATTAATTCCTGGTGAATTTATTACGATGGGCTAACTGACCTGACCATATGTTCATCTTATCATCCGCCACTAGTGCCGTGCCTGCGTAAACCTATAGCGCAGGCGAGTGCACCAATCCATTATCAGATATTAAAAAAACTGTTACCACCTCCCAGTGGTGTATCAGTTTGTTTGACTGTCTTGTTACGTAAATAAAATACCTACTGCTATATCTTATATATAAAATTCTCGTGTCACAGTTTTCGTTCCCATACTCCTCCGAAAGGGCTTGACCGATTCTCATGAAATTTTGTGAGCGTATTGAGTAGCTCTGAGAATCGGCTAACATCTATTTTTTATCCCCCAAAATGTTAGGGGTAGTCCACCCCAAAAATTTTTTTTTTAGCCAACTTTTTAGTTCCTATTTTTTTATGATACAACATACAAAAATACATACAATCCTAAATTTTCACCCTTCTATCATCAACCCCTATTTTTTTATAGCGTTATTAATTTATATGGCAAAACAACGTTTGCCGGGACAGCTAGTATATATTATAAAGTAATACATAAATGTATAATGAAAGTATTTATAACATTTGTACTCACTTTCCTAACAGAATTCTCGCATCTCCAAAGGTTCGAAACGAACCGTTAGAAACAAATTTATGGCAAACTCATTCGACTTTTAACGATGGAAATTTATTTTATTGATATGTTGTTTGAATTGGATTTTATATTATCACAATCTATATATATACATATAAAATTCTCGCTTGACAGTGTTTTTTTTTTATTAGGAGGTTTGGGCTATTGTCATTTTTTTTATGGTTGGATATGGTATGATACACGCCTGCGCTAACGGTTCACGCTGGCGGGGCACTAGTGGAGGATGACAAGATGAGCAAGAGGTCAGGTCAGTTAGCCCATCGTGACAAATTTACAGGAATTTATCACGATAGTTTCCAAGGCGAACCGCGTGGAGGTCAACCTGACTTGGTACATTGTAAGCTATTATTAGTTCACATTACTAACAATCTCTTTCCCCCCGGGCTGTTGCCAGTTGCTTGGACCTATAGCACTGCGACCTGTATAGATCTATTGTGCTCGCCCTTTTTCAGAGTTTACTACCTACACCGACCTACTCAGGGACAAGAATCAAAGGATACTCTTAGAAGCGATGGTTTTTATCTCCTCGGGAGAGATTGTAAACTTTCCAAAGGAGATATTTCGTTTATGCATGAGTGGGCTACAACCACATAGGAGGTGTAGCGGGGCACTGTTAGTTGCTATACATTTCCGAAACCGCTTAACCGATTTGGTTTTGGTTCTCTGATGTAGATTCGATAGGTCTAACAACCTTTTAGTTATCTATTTTTTATACCCGTAAGTGATAAAAGTGATTTTTTTATTTTTTTACGATGTGATTTTAATTACACTTCACAGTTTTCACCGTTATGTCACCAAACCCTATTTTTATGGCAACATTAGTATTTTAATTATATAACAAAACAATGTTTGGCGGCGCACCTAGTATACGTATAAGAATAAGATGGGTGTAATTTGCGAATGACACGTCAAAATCGGTCATTTTGGTGGTCAGAGTCCACGCTTCAATGCTATACTAGAGAATAGAAACAGAAACAGAAACACAATAGAATAGCGACGCAGTTATAGAACTGGGGTCGCTATTTTTAGAGATCAATTGCAAAGTAGACTGCTCAATTTCATGAATGCATTTCGCGATTGTTCGATATGGCATTTGATTTGCATACTAATAAGATAATTACCTACAGAATAATAAATCAATAAAATCTTACTTCATATCACGGCTCAGTCAAGTGCACCATTGACCATTCCATATACTTCCGTATTTTTATGCAAATTTTACCTTTCCATATTCCAAGTAGAAGAAATTGCAACGCTGTTTATCTAAATATATATAACTCAAAGGTTACTGACTTAGTGATCTATCAACGCACAGCCCATAGCACTGGACAGATCGGGCTGAAATTTGGCATGCAGGTAGATGTTATGACATAGGCATCCGCTAAGAAAGGATTTTGATTAATTCTTCCCCCAAGGGGATAAAATAGGGGATGAAAGTTTGTATGAAACTTTGTCAATATTAAACCGATCGGGCTGAGACTTTGCATGCATAAAGCTGCTATGACGTAGGCATCCCCTAAGAAAGGTTTTTGATAAATTCCACCCCTAAGGGGATAAATTAACGCGAGCGAAGCCGCAAGCAAAAACTAGTTAGAATATAAAAATTTCTAACTGTTTTAAATTTGATGCGGTCATTATTTATACGTATAATTAGTAAAAAGCAATCACCAGTGATCACAGTGGTTGAAACACTGTCGAAATATCGGGAACTCAGTAAATAAATACAAAACGTGGTAAGATCCCGTGATTTCTACTAATTATACGTATAAAGATTTCTTGTCTATCCCAACTAGAGATGTGTCAACTCGAGTTACTAACTCGAGTTGCGGTGAATTCGAGTTAACTTGAGTTGAATTCTGCCAGCTCGAGTTGGAAGTATTCAACTGGTAAATGAACGAATCAAGTGAAAGAGCGAGAGCATGATTGTGTCGTCGAACAGACAATGATATGAAATTTTCCGATCATTTCATATCATACAATTTTCACTCGTCACAAATATTTTCAATATTGATTTGAGGTCGTTATAAGTTTTTTTTTTCGTATATTCGTCCGGTTATGTTATCGTTAAAATGATTATGCGTTCTATAAGTCCTTCCGCGGCTTTGAAGTGCCATTTCTACTCGCTCCCTATGGTTCGGTGAAGTTTTCAAGGCCAACTGCGGCCAAAAACATTAGATTTGTTAGAAAAATTAAAAAAAAAACAAAAAATTCTGTTTATTCCAGGTCGAATCAACTCGAGTTAACTCGAGTTATGTTTATTACGAGTTAGCACATCTCTAATCCAAACCATTGAACAAAATCCATCTACGTCCAAGTATTTAGCATTTAATTGTACAATAATGTATTGAATTTAGTTGGACCGCCCGGGGGTGGAAATGACATTTGCAAAGTAAATCTCAAAGACGCAGCTAGTCGACAACTCCTTGGTAAATGACTACCCGCAAGTCGTAAGTTAAATATTGGAGAACTCTTTTATCCTGTAGTACTCGTTCACTTGTCACTGACTCTTTATTAAACCCGCAGGCAACTTTACACAATACTTTCATTATGTTAAATTTACTAATATTATAAACGCCAAACTTTGTGAGAATGGATGAATAGGTGTTTGGTACTCTTTGGTAGTTATTTTATTTTGGTTGGCACTTACTTAATAAGATAGATCTAGGACTAGTTTTTGCCCGCAGCTGCGCTCGCGTTAATTTATCCCCTTAGGGGTGGAATTTGTCAAAATCCTTTTTTAGGGGATGCCTATGTCATAGTAGATATAAGCATGCAAAGTCTCAGCCCGATCGGTTTAAAATTGACAAAGTTTCATACAAACTTTCATCCCCTATTTTATCCCCTTAGGGGTAGAATTAATTAAAATCCTTTCTTAGCCGATGCCTACGTCATAACATCTATCTGGTTGCCAAATTTCAGCCCGATCCGTCCAGTGGTCCGTATAGCAACACACAAGTTTGTTGCTCGTTCTTCTTGTGATGAGACAGCTTTCCGAATGAACGGTAGATTAAAAAAAAGTTTATTTGAATAAATTATCTTCTATTCTATTATATTATATTCCAGAACGTCGCACGAGACTCCATCCAAGTATGTATCTGTCTTATTTGATGTGATCGTGCATCATCATCCTCCTTCTGCAGATCCTGATCCTACTGCAGTGATACCAGAGTGTGGCAGACGATCTAATTCCACTACCTCACGGTGTCTGCTACAGGATGCCCGTGATACCACTCGTATGTTGCCATTCCATATTAATGTGTTTTAATCTTATTGTATTTTTATATTTGAGCCTAAATAAATTAGTACTGGTTGGTAGTTTGTATTCACACGTTTCGACTTGTAAATGTGAACTTACAAGGAATATTTAAAAGAGCAACACACGAGTTTCTTGCTTATTCTTCTTGTGATGAGAAAACTTTCCGAATGACCGGTAGATTAAAAAAAATTGTAGACTATTCATCATCATCATCATCATCATCGCAGCTCGGAAGGCGTCCACTACTGGACATAGGCCTCCCCCAAAGATCTCCACGACGATCGGTCCTACGCTGCTCGCATCCAATGCCTTGCAGCGATCTTGACCAGATCGTCGGTCCACCTTGCTGGAGGCCTTACCATGCTGCGTCTTCCGGTCCGTGGTCGCCACTCGAGAACTTTACTGCCCCAACGGCCATCTATCCTACGAGCTATGTTGACTATTCAAAAGTGCT